CCCAAAACCAAAAAATAGTTTTTTTGAAAACATTTTTTTTTCCTTTTTTTTTTTTTTTGGGGGGGGGGGGCGGGTAGGACTTTATTTGAGTTTGAGCTCCCCATGGCTAAAATCCAGACACTATTGTAAATCATGGAGCTTAAACCAGGGACAGGTGCAGTAATAATCAAAACTGTCATTATGTAGACTACATTCAGTTCATTATTAGAAAACCAGAGAAGCACTGATGTTTGGGATTAGGTACTAAGACTTCCAGTATAATAGTACATTATTTAGCCAAATTATGTGTTAGTTGAGTGTGGCTGGTGCAGGACCCACACGTGTTTCCTTTCCTGGTAAGTTTTATTTCTTTCGGCTACACAGTTAAAACTATTTGTGCTGTCATCAGCCACTGTATTTATTTATTTGTTTGTTTATTTATTTATTTATTTATTTATTTATTCATTCATTCCCCGCCCATCTGGCCTAAAAGGCTACTCTAGGCGGCTTCCAGTGAAAACAATAAAATAATACAAAAAATTACATAAATCATAATTATAACATACACAATACAAAAATAGAACTGAAATAAATAAAGGAGAAGAAGAGAACATCAAGTGTTAGCTGGAGGGAAGGCCTGAATATATAGCCATGCTTTTAGTTGCTTTTTAAAGGTGCCCAAAGTGGGGGCTGCGCGAATCTCAGGAGGGAGATTATTCCAGAGGCGAGGAGCCACCGCCGAGAAGGCCCGGTTTCGTGTCTTTTCCTTCCGGGCCTCTCTTGGCATCAGGCTCCTCAGCCTCATCTCCTGGCTCGCATGGGTGATCCAGGTAGATCTTAACAGTTTCCACCTTACAATGTGGGCAGTGGTGTTGTGGAACCAGGGCTCACAGTGCCACAGCAGGGTGGTGGCAACATCTGCTTCCTTTACCCGGCTTCCCTACTCTTTTTGAGTTCAGCTGCCATTCCTACTACAGTGTGTTCTGTATGTGGATTTTCTTAGCAACGATAAATTACTGCGGGTTCTCACGTGAAGCATTTGGAGGCAGCTTGATTTTGTGGAGATAAAATTGCAAGAACTGGTACATTGGTACCGCTTGCACTTTTGCCCACGCATCAAAATTGACTATCACACCAATGGGTGTGGATGACTAACATCGATAATCATAATGGAGATTCAGTCGCTTGAACAGAGCTTAAAATATTGGCCTTAGTAAGTAAGCGATAACAAAACACATTCCTTTAATTTAAGTAAATGTTTCTTCCATCTCACAGCCTATTCAGATGTGCCTTTTCTGCGACCCAGACCCAAATCACTGTGCATTATTGGTAAATGGCTCAGAATTTCACTTCATGATCTTTCATTAAAAATCCAGTATTCAATATTAGTTAAGACAATTAGCAGCTTTTTAGAGGTTCAGTGGAAGTTATTTTCTTAGCTATTTCATGTCTTTTTCAATCACTCAACCAAATGCAGCAACCATTCTTTATACTAAAGGAAAGCCTGTTGTATTTTCCCCCTAAATCAGTTTTTACATCTCAGTTTCTCCTTTACATGACCTGTGGACATTGCTTTTCATCCCACTTACCCATGATACAGTAGAAAAAGAATGCACAGAAGCAGACTTTTTGAAAAAGCAAGAACAATGATGGCATCTATCCCAAACTGCTGACTAATTAATGGGCCTTCCTTGGTCTGGCTAGTGAACAGGGTGGCAATGTTTTACTACTATTTAAAAAAATAAATTCAAGTTTTACTGTTTTTGTGGCAAATCAACACAGAGAAAATCAGAGATTGAGAAAAATAATCCAATCAGAAAACCTCATATTTCTTTCCTCTTTTTTTTAAATCAGGAGTCCCACCCACCCACCATTTTCTGGCTATTTTAATGGCAACCCTTGCCTGCATAGCTATTTGTATTACTGCATAACTCCTAGAACTGATGGAAGATTGCTTGTTAAAGCTCAGGGTACCTGACAACTGCAGTCAGACAAGAGAGCAGCATTGAGTCTAATGGAGTTTACACTCAGGTGACTGCCTAGGATGGAAAACCTGCCTTGTAAACTTTGTTGTGAAGCTATTACAGTGGTGCCCCGCATGACGACGATAATCTGTCCCATGAAAATAGCTGTTTAGCAAAATCATCGTCATGTGAAAACCCTTTCCCCATTGAAATGCATTGAAACCCAGTTTAATGCATTCCAATGGGGAAAATACCTCGTTGTCCAGTGAAGATCGCCCATAGGGAAGCCATTTTGCAAGCGCTGATCAGCTGTAAAAGTGGCTGCCCTGCAAAGCATGGGTCTGGAAAACACAGGGCAGCCATTCTGCGAAGCCGACGATCAGCTGTAAAAATCGTCTTGCGAACAAACGGTTCGTGAAGCACGGACCTAATCAACATCCAGCGAAAAGCCCCCATTGGAATGACTGTTTTGCAAATCACTATAGCAATTGCAAAAAGTCATCATTATGCAGATTTGTTGTTTAGCGGGGTCCTCGTTTATACCACTGTATAAGTGGTTTCTTCATTTTCTTTTTCAGATGTGTGCACATTATGAGAGTTTAAAAACAGTGTGCTATTTCTTCTGAATATAAATAACAGAACAGTAAGGTAGATATCCTAAAGAATCAAGAACATCCTATCACTGCTCAGGAATGGATGACTTTGGCAAATCATTATATTCATCCTAATTAAAAGTAATTTTCCAAGCTTTGTCTGGGCATGTGCATGTAGATTGTTTGTGTGGAGGTGGGTAATGGCTGCCAATATTGTCATAATTGAAAATGAGATTTGGCAAACACCTCTCCCCAAACAAGCCATGTAGAGATGGTCTCTTCCTTCACTTGCTTGAGTATTTCTCCACAGCCCTGGCATACTATTCTCACAATAACCTTAGAGCCTCATGGAAGGTGACACCCTTTCTCTCAC